GCGGGAAAATCCATCACATTCTTTCACTTGGGGTGTTCTCTCCTCAGCACAAACATTCCGCAAGCGTAGGATCTTCGAGGGGCTAATGATCCTACAATTCCGCCCCAGTTTGGACAAACAAGTTATTTCTTATGTCTCCAAACTTTTCCCATCGGGAATTACACAAGCTAAGATTCTTATGTCTCCAAACTTTTCCTATCGGGAATTACATAAAATATATATGTATGTGCAGACGGTTATTATTTTCAACCCTAATGATAGCAAACAGCCGAAAACGTTTGGTTCAAACATTTTCATTTTTTCCTAATCTTTTAGCCTTGTATAGAATATACTTTGCTAGGCGAACATTATGGACACGTAAAAGGGATTCCTTAAATATTTCTCTTTAGTGTAACTGGCTTTGGGAAGGTGCCATTTCCCTATCGGCATGTTCTTAGGGTTAGGAAATCCTCCGGTGGTCGTTATTACTCCTTTACGAGACTTCCAGTATGCTCCCCGTCAAAATGAAAGTCAGGAAAGGGTACATAGAACCATGTCAATCACCTCAAACAGGCAAGAGGGTGCAAAACAACACTAAGATTAGGGTATTTTTTTCTTCGAAATTGTCGTAACCTTTAAGTTAAGGAGAGTTTTGTTTCAGTTGTTTTGTTTTGTTTTGTTTTTATTTCTTTTTGATTGAAATTAATTGTACCTTTAATATACAAACCTCATGAACAGTTACGTTTACACTCAATAGCTGATAGGCCCGATTCAAATCGTGGGCATGGGCTGCCTGTGGGAGGATGGAAAACTTGTTATGTCTCAATCATCCATTATAGGCTTCTTCAAACATTCTCCGCTGTTAACTGGTTAGATATCTTGCTTTATTCCACTCTTAAGAAAAAAGACTTGCAAGCCCTTGGCTCAGTTTCTGACGAAGGAGCGGGGAAATTCCTTCCGGCGCTAAAGCCCTAGTAAGGGTTATTGGGATACGGCATATTTGGCTAAAAGATTATAGGGATACGGGATACTTGATGAAAAAAATAACTGGACACGGGATATTTAGAATAGAGGTTCCGGGATATCGAAATGTAATTGTAGGGATACGAATGACGGGAATTTTAAACAGGATGCGAGATATTTAGGCCAAAAATTAATAGGGGATACTCAGACCCCACTAAACGGGCCTCGGTACTGTTGCTGAATACTTCTTATACTAATACTTTATTTAACGTGGAAATACGCTTTGCTTAAGAGCTAGTTTACAGGTATTCCACCTAATACCTAATGAAAACCTAACAGCTAACCTAACAGCTAACATCGCTAATATCACAGCGGGTAGAATCACAAATTAAATACTGATTAAAAGCTTTTTAAAACTGTTATTACAACATTACCGCCGCAATCAAAATACTATTCAAACTAACGTTGCAAATCTACTAATTCCCGAAATTTAAAGATCTAATTCTGTTTACAATTTCTTTGGTGCCCACTTTTATTCTAATGTCATTTGAGAGTTCATTCCATTTCTTGGCTGCAAAATATCTCCATGACTTGAGTCCATATTTGGTAATGTTAACTTTAGGTAAAGATAAAACATATTCTTGGCGCCTGAGATTGTATTAAATGAGCGTAAGTTAATAAGATTCCTAATTGCCCGTGGTGCTTTGTTCGTTATGCTGTTATGTATTGTCAGTAACATGTCTTGAATTCTTCGAGATTCCATGGAGGGTAGTCTTATCCTATCCAAGAGATGCTGATAAGATGCATGTTTATCATTATAGACATATCGCAACGCTCTTTCATTGACATTTTCGATTTCTGCAGTGTTTCTTTTTCCGCAATGGTGCCAACTTGGTTGCAGTAATAAAAATTCGGTAGTATGAACGAACGGTATAACGATTCCTTGGTTTTAAGTGGTAAAATATTTTTCAGTCTAATAAGCGCGTTTATTTGAGCACTGTGGGGCAAATACTCGAAACTTGATCGTTAGATCTAAGCTTACTATCAAGTACAACCCCCAAGAGGTTAGTCTTTTCTGCGGTTCTGATATCAATTTTACCCGATAGAAGGAGTAGCTTATCTTCTGTTCTGCTAAGGACCATAGCTTGGTACTTTTCCGGAATTGGTCTCATGCCATTTTGAATAAACCTTGTAGTTGCGTTCTCAATATCACTACTTAGGTTGTCTTCAACTGCACGTTTCCAAGAGTCAGGGACTGCTCTCGAAGTGATGATAGTATTAATTAGATGACTAAGAGGCCGTGTAATTGATGGAATAGACGCCTTGAGTGCACGTGGTGGTATATGGTCATGACCAGTTGCTTTTTTTGCTTTCATTCTCTGTAGAGCAGCCTTGACCAATTCATGATTAATTAAATCGAACTCGAACTGTTCATCTTGATTCCAGTTCCTTGGAATATTTGACAACTGCGGTTCATTTTCAAAAGAAGTGTGCTGTTGGATGTCCAGGCTTTCTGTCACATTTCTAAAATAACTATTCAGAATCTCTACAACTTGATTCTGATCTTTAATTATTTTATTGTTCTCTTTGAGTGTGATATAATCAGTTGGTGCGCATCTCTGAGTGCATCAGAGGACGAAGTGAGTTCCAGAATTCTTTGGGTTTCCAGCGGCATTTAAGCATAACTGGTCAAAGTGATTAATCACGGACTTGCGTCGCATGGTTACTATACGGTTACGCATAATCCTGTATGCCTCCCAGTTGTCAGGCGTTCTTGACTTGATATATTTTCGCTTAAGAGCATTCCTGTGACTAATGGCTTTACGTATTTCTGGGGTGATAAATTTCGATCGACGGAAGCCTTCCCTGACTTTTCTGTATTTGATGGAGGCATGATCATCCAATATATTTTTATACAACTCTTCCCATACCCAGTAGATGTCATCTATATCCTCAAATACGTAAGCCGCATGAAACGGAACGAGCTGCAGATCTTTGTTGAATTCCTCATCATTTAACTTTTTAAAACACCTTCCCTTTGTTAGGCGGACTTTCGGGTTCAATAAATTCTTATTAAAAATTGTGTAAATTAGCATATGGTCACTCAATCCAATGTCAACAATACCAGACTTCAGAGCAATTGAGGGTACATTGCTCAATATTACATCCAGACAGGATTCTTTCAAGGAGGAAATCCTAGTTGAACCTTTTATTAACTTATGAAGATCATAGACATCACAGATATCTAGCAATTCTCTTCCTTGTTTTCCATTATCCATGGGATGTAACAGATCACAATTAAGATCTCCAATGCAAATCGCGTCGGGGCGGTTAGAAATAGCTAGATCCAAGAGAGCACTCGATTCTTTTTTAAAAATCTCATTCTTTACGGATGGAGACTTGTATGCTGACAGAAGTGAGAAGTGTTGTTGACCTAGTTGAATATCAACAAGAATTGCTTCAACTTCTCCACGACTGGTTTTCAGTTGATATGAAGGAATGGAGTTGCGAACGTAGAATAATATTCCTCCGCCGCTTTTCTTGCGATCTCGTCGGTATAAATTCTATCCTTGGACAGAAAATTGCGAATTCGGAAATGTGCTGTCAATTTTTGTTTCATGGGTACTTAATATATCAAATGATCCAATCCAATCTTGGACTTCCAAAAATTTCGAGGGAAGACTGTTGATGTTAAGGTTGCCAATAACACAACGTTTGCTGGCTTGAGCTGTAATGTTTGCTGAGTCAGGGCCTTCATCGACATCCGCCGTATTCAAATAGTTCAAGTGTTGTTCACACTCTAGCGAAATATTCAAGGTAACTTCATTAGAGAAAGGCAACTTACGGAGAAGACAGGCATTGCAAATCCAATTTGTCGCTTGAATACTTTTGAGCTGCTTTGGGTTTGCTCCACTACATTTGACATGATAGCGTTCCTCACAGTCGCTACAGCCTAGTGCCCGGTGTTTTCGGGAGATTCCTTTCGAGCAATGATGACATTTATCTGGTCCAGGGTTTAAACTGATATCTCCACTTATGAGATAATAATAACATCAAATAAGTTGATAAGTTGAAATTGGCCACCGTAAAGGGTTTCAAAGCTGATGTCTCATGCATTATTCGCTCTGACGAAGGACTAACGCTAATGCTCGAAACGTCAGCACAAGAAATTTTCAAACGCGAGTTATGGGTTCATTCGAATAACCTATTGCTGTCTTAATTGTTATGTCGAGTGAAGTAAAAAAAAAAAACATTTAAAGCCATACACAATTTTCAAAATGGTTTGGTCAAAGCTTTACTCGATACTTCCTGTTTTTGGTATAATTAACCAGCTCTGCGTCATTCAAATGCGGTAATCTTTTAGTCTTGAACACTCCATGCAGGATTTGAATTCTTCAACGGATTGATGACAAAACATAAGCAGGAGCTTTATAACAATGTCACAGAATATTTACTCGTGTTATTTTTATGGTATACCATACGTTGAAGAGGGTTATGACCAACTATACATGCCTCTAATTGATCAATTTGGAGAGATTGCTTTTTAAAAATTTATCCGTGGTGTTGTAACTTAAGTTTGCATCAGGTATAAGCCGTGTACTGAGTTGTACCGACAAAAGCCGTATGTATTGTTTTGCCCACCTTTCACCCCATTACATGCTGAGCGACAAACAAAATATCACGTCATAATATTTAGGGCTTTGATGGTACGCGCTCTGAACTTACATCCTCGAGTGGCTCTAGACGTGCCGTGCCTATCAGCTTAGCCGGAATTTCCAAAACCCGTCCGGTGAACACGAATAAATGTGTTATTTTAACCAGAAGTTATGCAAAGTTCTACGGTTGCAGCTACTAAAAAATTAAAATTTTTGACCCGAACCCGAGAAATGGAAAATGGTTGGAACTGAAGCTTAGGGGCATTGCACTTGAAAGCCATAAACCCAAATGCAAAAATCAGCGATAAAACGTCTATTATATAAGTGGTTTTAATCACACAAATTATGCGAAAAATCCAACTAGATTTTACAAAAAATACGAATAATGCGAAAAGCCTAATAACATTTCTACACAAAAACAAAAAACGTAACTAAGAAGATCGGAAAAAGAACATTTTCATTCTTGTGACTCTAGAGAATATAACTGAGTTTGTTACGGCTCATGCATTTTGAAAAAAAATAGCCTTTTCTTTCGGAACAATACGCAACAATAGAGGCGCCTTGTCTCGGTAAGTTATGGGATGAAAGGTGAGCAAATACGAAAGATTTTGTTTCTGTTCATACAACTACATTGTGGCTATAAATATCAGCGTTTTCAGCCGATGACCTTCGTTGTTTTCTTTTGGTGGCTTTAGCTTTAGCGGGTCAGAGCCGTATTCAAACCCAAATTTTAAAATAATAAAGAAATGCTTGATTTCAACTGTTGTTCATGAGTCTCTTTGCAGCCTACATGTAAATCAAAAACTATCCAAGTTTTGCAACTGAGACAACTTGTCATAATTGTGCTCCATATGTTTCGCTCAGTGTTTCAATAATAAGTCAATGTATGTATCACTCATTGCGCACAAAGTATTTCCCTATTTAGCTGACCAAGAGTCAGCGAATAGTTAACAAAAACAAGGAAGCATTGACAATTTTTTTATCAAAAATTTTGTAAATCATTTCACTTCGAAGCACGTATTGACTAATGCTGAATCCGCCAGTGCTTAAGGGTACCTTGAAAAATCCCACGCACCTCACATTTAGTACATTGATAGCCACTCAGTGCTTCGTAAGCAATAGAGGGTGTTACATCATGGAGAAAAAAGCCATTTTCTGGATAGCCATAACAGTTTTGAACTTATCAATGGCGATTAGAACGTCAAGGGGGAGTCTTTTCACATCACTCCAGTTCACCCGTGATACCCTAATGACAGCGATGGGATACTCGCAAGGTCCAAAACTTTCGGCATCAAAATTTGCATTGAAGAAGACGGCCCAATCCTCTGGAGGGAAACTCGCACGGAAGAAGAATAAGGGCAGCGGCACCTTCGATAGCATTACTGGCATCACCCACAGTCTCGCTATTATAGATGCATCAATTATGAGGCCTGACTCAGGTGATCATGAAAAGGTCTTGGAGGGTCCAGATTTCCAAATTTTAGCCAATCCTAATCCCTTACCCACTCAGAAGACGTTTAGTGCAAGCGTACCCACGTCACCATCGAATAAGTTCCTCGAGGCAATCAACGAGATCGAACGTGCCGTAGCTAACGCAAGGGCTTCAGGAGTCCGCTATAGCGAAACAGTTTTCACCAAATTAAAAGATCTCTTAGAACGAGCCATCAGGAGTAAGAGCTATAAATATGGACGCGAAGTTCTGGGACAGATAATGTATCTTTTAAGCACCAATCCTTCCCTATCAGTGAGAAGTAAGAGGTCTAACGAGCAAGAGGGCACCAACTTTCTCCAGGGACTTCGTGCTCAGCTTGGAAGCTCAGCGTTCGAAAGCTTCATGGCTGTTCAAGGAGATGTGTCTCTTATGTTTGTCATTGATGACACCGGAAGTATGGGCGAAGAAATTCAAGCTACAAAGAAGATTGCCATAGATATCATTAATTATCCGCGCCAAGCCCCTGTCGAGTACATTCTGTCACCATTTAATGACCCCTATCCAGGTAGGTTCAACAGTCATTTCTGGTTGCTTTTCTAATTATTTGATGAGATGTCTGTATTAAGCTGTATATTGAAGAGAAAGGTAAATTGGTGTCCTTCGTTAATTGCTATGTATTGATTGACTAAAAAACTCTAAAAGAATAGGCCCGTTAGAGGTGGTCCGTCTGAGCAGGTATGATATTTTTTAACACAGATGAACCCCCAGTGGTCGTAAAAGACAATGCTCATGCCGGAGAGTTCGTAACAGCTATTAACAATCTCAAGCCCCACGGTGGCGGTGACTGTCCTGAGTACACATTCACAGGCATGCTGGAGGCACTTTATAAGGAACCGCAATTGGACTCCCCCATGTACGTTTTCACTGATGCTGGTCCGAAAGATGCAACACCTGAAAACATCGAGGAGGTGAAGTACATGGCAAGCGTGGAATACGGTGTGACAATAAACTTCTTTACAACAGGTAACTATCTTGGGGCCAGTCATTATTTATCGCCTGGGGGGAGGGGGTGGGATAATCTTATGGGGGGATAACATGGTTTCTAGGGGTGAGCGGAGAGGGGAGTAAGTCGCCGCTCTTTTTCTGCGCGCGTACTGTAGTACTCTCCGTCTCAGGGGGCCGCGGAATAAAAGTTTCGTATGGAGGAAGTAAAACACTTAAGAGGCAATATTGAACCAAGGAGATGAGATAAAAGCGTGTTACTTGTACAATCGACGGACATGGACGATTTGAGCAAATTACCTCAAGGATAAATCAAGCTTCTCTTCTTCATCTTATGAGGATAATTTCTAGATTATTCAAATTGCTATGCAAACAGAACATAAAACGTGGTTTATGTTTTTGTTTTTGGAATGTAATATGCTTAATAGAAGTTGCCAAGTGAGGAAGGTGAAAGAAAGGTGTTGGTTGAAATACCTCTCTTGACTATAAATTTTCCTTTACGACCAAAGGGCAATAGAATCAAATCTTGTTCATCAACACCAGACTCTCCCCTCCCCAGTTAAGAAATTTACTTAGGAATCGTGTGATTATCCACCAAACATAAAGTACGTCATAGTCACTCCATAAAACCATGGTATTTTGTAGGATACTGCCGCTCCCAAGGATACTCGGGCAAGGACCCAAGAAATCTTCACCCAGCCTTCAAGGAAATCGCAGAGTTAACATCAGGGCAGGCCCTTTTACTAAAAGACCATTGGGAACTGGAAAAACTGAGCGATTTGACAGGAGGAGTTCTCGATGGCACCAATGTCATAAGTCTTGGATCAAACTTGTCTGGAAGACAGAAACGAAATGTTGGGGGAGGTGGTCGTTATAGAATTCCCGTTGACGAATCTATCGAAAAAATGACCGTTACAGTAACCACCACACGGATCGGTACAAAAGGTTGTTTTTTATTTTAAGTTTGCTTGAAAGGAAGGGTGGGTAAAATGGTCAGTAAAGTGACGTTCTGAGGATGCATTTTGGATGGGATTAACTGGCAAATATTTTGCTGCCTGCTTTTCCTTTGTTAAATCGAAGGTGCTCATGATTTCAGAGCTCTGAAGATTTTTTAGGAAAAAATTACCAAGGAGAAGTTCAACTAAACTTCAGATTGGCGCATTCGGTCTTAGCAGAAGACATTTCCCAGTTCTTGCGAAATTTCAGAGTTTGCAAAATTTTAGTCGCCAGCCATCTTGATGGTTATCTTGGATGTAGTTACCTTATTGGTTTGCGTACTTAGAGATCGTAGAAATCACCAATCGAATATTACAACGCTAACACAACTAAAAAACAATTCTTCTTGTTGTTTGTTGGATCAAGTATTAATCATATCCTAAGCTCTTAAGAATCTCGGTTCTCAACTGCAACTAAAAGAGAAATGGTGTTTGGATTCCCGAAGTTTCTTTGAATTCCTGGCTTCATATCATCTGGTCTTCCTTACTAATGATGAACGTAGTGTACAATTTAATATCTTTGATTAATACAAAGTTTTTTTTCTTTCCTTTTCTTCTTTCTACTCATAGGGAAGGGAATAACCTTGCACGACCCTGATAACATCCTCATAACCTCTGAAAAAGTCAGTCTTTCCCAGATCACCATCTACCAGATCAACAAACCTAAGAAAGGAAGTTGGAATCTTGTTCTATCAAGCAGCAATGGAGAACATGAATTTTACGTGAAGTCCACAAGCAAAACAAACATCGACTTCGAACACTACTTTCTAATTCCGCTAAGCAGCAGGCGAAAGACAACTGAAGTACCTATTTCCAATCCACTCATCGGTGAGATTAAACCTTTTACATTAATTAAAAACATGAATTCATTTAATTACTCAATTATGATTCGTTCATGACTCAATTTCGTCATTTCGTGATTAAGATAATGATTCAGCCTCTTTTTTCAAAGGTAAATCAAACAAGGTAGTTATAACCGTCGCTGGTTCTGAGAAAGTCGATCCAAGCTCTGTGCGTTTAGAGCTCATCACCACTGGGGGAACCAGGACTAGTGACGTCACACTTCAGACAACTGACAATGTCCATTTTACTGCAAGTTTCACGCCTCGCACAAGTCAACCATTCAAACTCAGGCTCAGAGGTTTCACTAGTGGCGGGAACTTGTTTGAAAGGATTTCACACCAGACCATCAAACCAACTACGGCTGTTCTTCGGAGAAAGTACGCCAGCAATGATTACACCCTCCCTTTAGGAAAGACCACGTTTGTTCATTTCCAACTATGTAATTTTGGCGGCAGTGAATATTTTGACGTGTCAGTCGCAAAGGACAGGATGGGGTACTTAATATCCCCTAATGTCAGGTCCAGACACGTGATAAAGGGTCGTTGCATAACTATTTCCGTCCGTGCTAAAGCGACACGTTCTACAGACGTGGACAAAACAGACACCGTGTTGTTAATCGCCAAGGGTCGAACATCTAAGGTTGTTGTTTTACAGGCAGTGCGTCTTTTCGTGGTCTCCTAAATTTGTTGGGTCTGAAAAAACCGTGAATATTTTACCCATCTAAGGTTCTTAAATACACGCGATCAGACAAGAGATCGTGAAAATTATGTAAATTTGGCTATCTAGCTTTAAAGGGCATAGATTTTGCAACTCATTACTGATATTCGAGTTACTGATATCCGAGTCACGTAGGCGTAGTAATGTTAGAAGATCGATTAGTCTATATCCTTTTAACAAAATAAATCTATACGACCACCGAATCACGCATGTCAGTCATTCCATGGTTTTCGGGACGTCTTGCGAAGTAACGTTTTTTTTAAATGATACTCACTTGAATAAAACAATGGATAGGTAAGAAGGCTCCAGCATATGAAACAGTGTAATCTATAACTTTTGGGAAAAATAACGCAAGTCAAACGACATCAATCCCCCTTCCCCCACCCCCCTCCCCTTAAAAAAAGAAAGAAAAAAAAAAACTTACACCTTGTTCACAGAGATGATATTATAGGATGACGGGGAGAAAGTGTTCCCTTTCAGAGGAGCCTTTGCCTTTTCAAAGGATCGTAGGAGGATGAGGAGGTTGAAAAACAGACTACAAGTTTGAATATCAATCGTGGAGCACATAGGACTCTTGCCATTTCGTGTTGCCCCCATATCTATTTTGTCTACTAAAAAAATCTCTAATACTTTGCGTCGAAGCGAAATTAACCGATCCTTCTATCGTAATATCCCAAAACATTGATAGGTGTGAGATTATTATTTGATCTGGCGCCGAGGCCTGGAAATGAAATAACCGACCGCTCTTCCTTTTACCGAAGTGACGAAGTGAGAGACAGTGGCAGTAGCAGACGAAGTCATAGAGACAGTAACAGTGACTTGCAGGAAGACAGAGACGGAAAGAGTGACTACGAACTTGTTAGTGAAGAGACAGAAGGCAACTGACAGTGACGGCGAGAGTGACAGCGTAAAGACAGTGACACTGATAGTAAGGATGACTGTTGGTGAGGCAGTCACAAAGACAGAGACAGTAACGCTGGCAGTAACGGGAACAGTGACTGTGACAACGACGTGGACAATGACGGTCACAATTGCACAGACAGTAGTGGTGAAAGTGAAAGACGGCAACTGTACAGAAAAAATGACAGAGTCAGTGATAGTGACAATACTAGAGACAGTGATGGGGACGCAGTCAATGAAGAGATTGACAGTGACAGACACTCACGGTGAAAATGATAGTGACAGTGACAGAGACACTGACAGTGATGGTGACAGAGGCAGGCACAATGGGGTGACAGTGACATTGACAGTGAAATTGAGAATCTACGGAACAGAGGTAGCGAAATGACATTTGACGGAAAAAGTGAAATTCAGGGTGACAGTGACAGGCAGAATGACAATGAAGTGACAGGGAAAGTAAGAGTGAGTAGACACAGTGATGATGACAATCAGTTACAGTGACAGCGAAAAAGAAAGTGGATGAGTGAATGAGAGTGAATGAGAGTGAATGAAGTGAGCTTGACTGTCAAATTGACAAAGTCGGCAAAAGTGACAATGGCAAAAACCGTAACATTTACACCTTTGGTAATGGTAACAGTTACCGTGATAATGAGAGACAGTGAGAGAGACAGATACAGTTATAGTAAAGAATAAGAGAGAGTGACTCTGAAAGAGAAAGTGACAGTGATGGGGACAGAAGTGACAGAGACACTCTTAGAGACTGACAGAGAAAGAGACAGAAACAGTGATTGTGATGTCAAAGGCCACAATAATAGAAACAACAGCAGTGACAGTGACAGGGACAATAACAGTGACAGTGAGAAAGAGACTAACAAAGACCTTCACGGTTTCAACAAAAGAGAGAAAAAGTAACAATGACAGTGACAAAGACAGAGACAATCAAGTGACCATGAGAGTGGCCGAGAAAGTAACAGAAACAGGGTCAATGTCAGAGAAAGTGACCGCAGAGTGACAGACAGCGACAATGGCAGTGACAGAGAAAGAGACAATGACGTGACAGTGACTCTGAGAGTAAGAAACAGAGAGTTAGCGAAAGTGACAAAGTTAGTAATAGTAACATCGACAGACATAGTGACAGTAAAAGTGACGCCGACAGTGACAGAGACAAAACCCAAGAGAGTGAGAGTAACAGAGTGAGTAATGGTGACAGTGACAATAAAAGAAACAGCGACAGTGACAGTACGAGGATCAGTGGCTGTTACAATGACCCTGACGGTGACGGAGACACAGTGACAGTTAAATAGGCGATGACAGAAGGAAGTTGAGAGTCATGATTTCTTTGTCACAACACCACAAACCATAACACGGAATTTCGATTATAGCCTGTTCACTTCACCAGAAGAACTCCAAGATCATGTGTACTTTGGGTAACACAGCTTGAAAGAAGAATCAGAATGTGCAGAGAGCCTTAACAACGGCCTTAGATGCGATTGGGTATTGTAGTTCTCGTCCCTAACACTTGAATCGAAATTAGCAACACTCGAAACAACGGGTGGAGTTAAAAGTGAAGTGTGTTAGATGGGATGAGCTCTTCAGAAACTTATAAGGGGTGGGACAAAATTCACTGAAAAGGGATAGTTATCTTTAAGATCTAAACCAGATTTCAAAGCGATGAAACAGCAGGCATAAAAGCCTACCCATGCAAGTGGCAGGAATGGAAAAAAGGAAAACAAAAACAAAAACACACGGTACAAGAAAATTTAGTAGAAGTAAATGGAAAACAAAGAGCCAGGTACAAAGCTGCTTCTCGAGGCTTTCTGCTCTGAAACGAAGAAAAGCCACAGTCTCGTAAGAACCAATGCAGGATTTAAATGATGACAGCGACGACAGTCTTATTGAAGAAGAAAGCGGTCACCTTGAACATTGTGATGTGATTTCCAAAATGGGACTTATTCATCTAATATCATATGATGAGCACCATTGCTGCTAACATCTTAGCCATGACACTCTATGCCAGTTTAAGGAGAGGAATGTGTCCTTTTTTTAGTTTACCTTTACAGCCAGAGATCTAATAGCCACCTTACTCAAGAAACTAAAGGACATGGTAACAGATCTAGAGTGCACATGTCTCCAAGATATTTAAGAAAGTCATTTCAAATTCAATGAGACTCTCTTTGACCCTAACTAGGACAACTTTTATGGAATTTAAACCTCGCCAAAAGTTGAGTTGGCGATGGTCGGACAACTTTGTTTACGTTATGTTTTGCCACAATAAATGGTCCTGAACAAGAGTGTTCTTTCTTAAGTCCCATTCTAATTATCCTCTTCTAGTGTGGAATAAAAGCCTTAAACAATTGTAGCGTTGAGCTGGCGAATACCAACTTTCTGAGTCCCATTAAATTCCTACATTTTTGCCCCTGAGATTCAAAAACTTGATAGCTCAATAGGGAATGCTAAATCTTTAACTTAATGACTTAAGTTTATTTCAGGTTCTGTAGATCAGTTTTTTTTCTCATTGTACTAAAACATATCCCATGGCTTTGACGTGTTTCTCTCCATTATCTGTAGAGTAATTTTCCGCTTCGTTTCCACAGGTGTTTGAGTCATCAGGTCTCCCTCCTGTACCAAATCCAATCCTCGAATTACATGAGGTGCAGCCGTCCTCGTTTTTGCTAGCGATACCGATCCGGGCCTTGGAATAACCTTCCCTTTCACACTCAGTGTTGAACCCTTCCTGGTTACAATTATACTGCAAAGAGGCCTCAAAACCAAGCAGCGTCTTCCATTTATCACGACCCAGTGAAGTAGGGCGGTACTGTCCGTCAGCGATAAGTGAGTACAGAGATTCAGCCTTCTTGTTGATGACAATGAACGTGGTCTGTTGGCCGATATTCATTCCGAGACAGATTTGGGAGAAGGGAGTGTTCCAGTAGGTTGATAACTTGGTTTCCTGTCTGTCGAATCCAGTTTCCCCTCCAGGAAGATTGTATTCTATGTAGTCGCTCCAGTGAGGACTGTCATAACCAAACGTTGACTGGAAGAGAATTCCAAACCTTACGCTCATTTCTTCTGAAATATTTATCACATTAACGAACTAAACCCACTTGAAACTGATTGACTTGCCAAAATTAAAGCAGGTTTAAATGTACTTTTAAGCTGATTTAATCGCAGTTTTAAGAGAAAACACTCAGTTGGAGAACCAGTCTAGATCCGTCATCAAAATTATAAAGGACTCCCTCTTTCCGTATGCACATGCAAGAATTACTTGATATACTTCACTCTTATATCACAAATGAAGAAAAAAAGTCTTTTTGTTAAAATTTAAGATTTATTGGACGAGTGAACAGAATGGGGCTATTCCTTGTATTCTAAACTCGAAGTTATGCGGAAATTTGCTCTGTGTAAGGTGGTTTAAAAAAAAACCCAACATGTTCAGTCATGTAGCGAACCATTATCCCTATCAAGTCATCTTTATGTCGTATACTTTGTAAAGGTACAGATCACGTGAATCGGAAGCCCTGAAACTCCCCCTCAAGGAAATGGAGGATGCATATCAGTATCAATAAAATTAGTTAAGTGACCATTTGATTAGCGTCAGATGATCATTAATGGGACGATGAAGAAGTCAAGGTATTTTAAGTCTGTTGTTTCTACAAACAGAGCGATTTTTCATCAACGTAGCCTGTACATGTTCATAAAAGAGATAAGACAAGAAAAACAATAACAACGACAACAACAAAAAGCACCTTGTTGCCGTCAATCTTCATGACCGTCGTCCAACCTCCATCTCCACACCCAAAATCTCCCATGTGACAGTAAACGGGAACTGGGTTTGAGTCAAGAAGGAGTGTCACCACACCACTCACAAACGTTCTTTCGAATTAAAACACAAAATATTAAGATCAGTTTTCTGACTTAGAAGCAGTTTAGGAGCCCATGAGCTACCACAATAACTCAGATCTTGTTTACGATACGCATCTCTGCCGTTGATGTTCGTTTTAATATGGACAGAAAAGGTTTGCCACTTTCGTAGAATGAAAATTTCGTTTTCAAAATTATTTGACTTAACGTGTAAGGGGTTCTAAGACACCTGACTTTGAAAACTACTGGTTAAAAAGAGAGAGAAAACAACAAAAATTATGATGATGAACATAACAACAGCAAACATACCTAAATAAGAGAAACAAACTACAGGGCACGAAAAGTGAAAGAGTAACATTTTAATTGACGTTAAATCCGTTATTCGTTGACGTCTAATCCGTTATTCGTCATCAACTTTCCATTTTACTTACATATGCTGATAATATTCATGCTTGCACCTCCAAGCTGCAAAACAAAAAGACGATTATGATTATTAGAAACTGTCGATTTTTAGTTTGTCTGTGACACAATTATAATGACTATGCAATTATAATTTTCAAATTAATATATGACAGGTAATTCTACCTTGATAGCCGTGATCTGCAAATACATTCCTCGTACAATTCGTTAAAATCAAAGTTAGTTGGGAGTCTTTAACAATATTCCATTCAGTTTATATATATATATATATAATATATAAACTGAATAGAATATTGTTAAAACTTGTTATATATATATATATATATCCCCCATCCTAGCATCAGCACTGCACTGATGAGGCCCAGAAGGCCGAAACAGTACTCTCTACAGTTATATATATATA